TAAGCTAATCTACGAAATTGAAATCGAAAGCAAGTAAAGCACGCAAGAAGATGAGATAAATCAAGGGGGAAAGAGATATTTTGGTTCACCGGAGTCATCATGATCAAAAGCACGCAAAAATCCAACCATTGCCATGTTCGCTAAAAACCCTAGGAAGTCAAATCAAACTCTAGCATGAATCGAGCAAGAATTCAACTCCTATCTCACTTAGTCAAACATTCATGATCCAAAGCAACAATCTTTTCTTCCAAAATCTCAAGCACAATATCAATTTACCAAAGCAATAAAGATATACGAGGTAATGGGGCTTAAAAATAAGCTACCCACTCCAACATGCACTCGGGAGAAGAAACGAAATCAAAAGCTTGAAACTTTGCTCAAAACAATGTCGTCGGAAGTTCGCCGGAAAACTTGATTCATAAAGCTCCAAACCAAAATAAAAAGGAAAAGAGAAAATAGAGAGAAAATTCCCAACTTAAAAGTTGGGAAATGAGGGTTGTGTTTAAAAATACAAAGCAAGATGTGTTTATATAGCTACACCACAAAACACACACTAAAACACGCACATTTAGTAAATAGCTCTCGACCACGCCGTGAAATCCGCGAGTTCGCGGGCAGGATAGGCATAGGCGTGCACGGGTTCGCAACACTCTCGACGGCGCGGCCAGATTCGCGAGGGCGCGGGCATGTGGCGTGCGGGCGTGCGCGGGGTTGGCGTGTGCGACAGCAGACGGCAGGATAAGCGCGGGACTCTCGACGTCGCCCGCAGTTCCGCGAGGTCGCGAGTGGGTGTGGAGGTGCGCACTCTCGAGGTCGCGCCCATTTCCGCGAGCACGCGGTGCGCGGGGTAGCAGTCGCGTGATGCTCTCGACGGCGCGGGACTTTCCGCGAGCGCACGGGGCGCGGCGTGTGCGAGCGGGCGTGCGGGCATGGGCTCGGTTCGTGCTTGATTCTTAATTTCGCTCTATCTTCTCGCAGCGAACTCTGATTTGCCCGAAACTTGGACCAAAATTCTTGTCTTTGAATGCTCTTCCTCCGAGTATGGTTTGGTCGGGATTTCCAGATTGGACGGCTCGGTCGGCCCGGACGGTTCGTCTCCTCGTGCGCGATGAAATGGACCTAATCACACCAAAAACAAAGAGAAAACGCGCAAAAATACGAACAAGCTATACAAGAGCAAGAATATTCGAGACACGACAAAATGGACCGGTCGAGCCTAAAAACGGACCTAAAAACCACAAAATAAAACACATAAAACACAAGAAACGAAGGACAAAAACACAATAAACAAAATTTCCAATGAATATTCCAACAAACTTAATTTTATGTTGGATTAAGTGTTGGATGATTGAAAAATTCCAACGGATTTTTTTCCGTTGGAATAGTTGTAGGAATTTATTTCCATAGGATTTTCCGTTGGATTTTAGCTATTCCAACGGCCGTTTTTCCCACGAATTTTTATACGTAGGAATATTCGTTGGAATAGTTATTCCAACGGAAAATATAAAGAATTTCAACGGAAAATTTCTGTTGGAATGTAAGAGTTTTTTTGTAGTGTAAACATGTGAGCTGGATAATATATTAATTAATTTACGGGCTAGCGCTATCATACTAGGGTTTAATGACTTATTTAATACTTTTGTCTCGTGCATCGCACGCACTACGTACTAGTGTAATTAGAAAGCCAAAAACGACATTAAAAAGAGTTATTGTAGTTTGAATAAAGTTGAACAAATTGCGGGAGTTTAGAGTGTTCATCAAACTTTTGGTATCTTTTGCATCCAAATGCAGTGCTCTAAAACATTTCTCATTTAGTTTACATTTATTTTATGTCATTATCTAGCTTCTAAATCTTTCATGTAAAAAGCTCCACTGTATATATTAAGGAAACAAAACATAATTTGAAAATATTCATATCTTTAGATTTATGCTTTTCTTGAGAAGTTTATCTTTTTATTTCATAGTATATGTGAGTCTTTCTCATGTCATACTGTATATATATTAACAACCATAAACCAAAGATCCCAAAAATTTACCCATGAGTAACTTACTTTTTTGTCCACACCAAAACAAAATCCCTTTCTTACATGCTATCATCATCTGAGCTCCCATCCCTCTCCACATTGTACCGGCCAATCACCGGCCAAGATGCCGTAGCCGATATCCTAAAGGACCTTCCCCCGTCAACCGCTGACCTGTCGTCCTTCATTATTCTCCCCACATCCTTGCACACGGTGTCCAACACGTCCAAAAAGTCCCGCACGATCACAAAAATCCTCAGCGACCCTTTCTCGGCATCCCCGTGGAAGTAACACGTCACCTCCCTCACCAATGAAAGCGCCTTCCTCTCCTCAGCTCTAACCCTAGCAATCTCGTCCCCAGCCTCTTTGTTAAATGCTCTCATAGACTCGAAAAACCTTCCTTGATCTTCTGTCAAGCCCTGGCTCTCCTTCTTCACGATGTCTCGGACTTTGTAAAGCCCGGTCTCGAGTTTGGACACGTAGCCACTCAAGACGTCGGAGTCGATTGTCGCTGCTTTCTTCACATTGTTGAGCTCTTTGCTCAGTCCCGACATGATACTCAGCCTTTGATCCTTAAATGTCGAGTTTGTTTGTTCAGAGCGGATAATCTCTTGAACGACAAAGTGAAGAAGGGTCGTTTTTCCATCGGCTGATTTGACGTCGACCAGCTTTAAGAGTGTATCGAGTTTGAAGGCTTTGGCACTGCCGAGGATGGTGCCGTCATTCATCCGGTTTCCTGTCCGCAAGACGGCCTCGAGGAGTTTGAGGAATAAACGGCTATTCTTCAATTCCTCACTGGCTTCCTGCATGGTCAACAGACGTTTTTACCATAACTCAATAAAACCTGTCTCTTTTTACAAAGTAAATAATTTATAAATATCAATGAGCATGTAATACGAGATTGATTAATTTTGGTGATACTGATACCTCTAAGGTTTGAAAAGACTTCCTCAAATATTCGACTTCAGCGTTGAAGTTTGCTCTGTACAACATTGCCTCCACCCTTTGGAATGCAAACGGGATATCGAGCATCGCCCTCAGAAATCTCTCTGCCGGGCCCATTTTCGCGATTTGGTCATCGTAACTTTTTAGTTTAATTTCTTCCTTCTTGCTCGGTGCCATCTTCACTAGAGTTTCAAAAAGCTCTGGTCCCAAGCCCTCTGGATTTCCTGCCTCCATGCACCATATATAACAAGAAAAAAAAAAAAAGTTCATTAGTTATACAACAAAATTCAGTCAGATTAAATAATTTTCGCAAACAACAGCGAAAATCGACACTTACTTACCATCCATAAGTGCTTCACAAACCTCCTCCCTCGTCACATTCAATGCGCGCAACAGAATGGCGATATTCTGAGACTTTTTGGAGTCGAGTATCCGATTTTCCTGATTCGGAGGGGCGAATGCCGATTTCCTACTAACTTCTTTAGGCACAGAATTTGCAGAGTTGCGGCCGAAAAGCGACTCCATGGCGTCTTCATTCAACCTGCATGCGAAATATAACACCAAAAATGATGAGGTGAATAGCTTTTTCTGATCAATTAATCTATGAACTTTTTGGGAAATGCTACGGTCTGGTTACGGTACCATCCCATCGTGTGTTTTAACCGTTGAATCCACATGTAGTTAGATAAGAACACCCGACGGGAAGGTACCGTAACGGGACCGTAGCATTTCTGGAACTTTTTATTTAATTCTTACTGGAATGAGCTCGTCTTCAAGCGGTCCCAAACTGTAGATGTGTCTGGGTTGGCTCCTACTTTGTCCCAGTGCAAAGGCTTCATTTTGGGCCGCTGTCCATTTATCTCGCATGTTGGGCTTGCTCTTGGGCTTGGACTCTTTGACTGGATCCGTGGCGTATGCCTGCAAGTTTTGTTATTCGTGGCCCAATGTTTACTTTGTCCTGATGGCGGAGGCGGCGGTGGTATCGGAATAGGAATTTTAGCGGCCGGCGGTGGTGTTAATTTGGGAGAATAATTCAGTGCTCTGCTGGGCTGTAGTGGGCCCAGGGAAATCTCCGGCGAGAAGTGTGATCTTGGCGAAGTCCTCCTTGAATGAGGTATAGATTTAGAGGCTCGACTTTCCGGTGCAGTATAATTGAAGGTATTGTCCATTGGCGGCGGCGAGAGCAACAAGCTGGCCGGCGGCGGTGGGCGCTGTTGAGAGCTAGCGGCGGACGATGACGGGGCAGCGGGCGGAGGACTTTGGTCGAAAAGCTTCTGGGAATTCAATTGGCGGTGTTTGTGGAGATAGAACGCCAT